CAAGATTTCCACGAAGAAAAGCTGTTTTAACATATAGCTGCTCTAGATGTAAATTCAATGTAACACACATTTCCAAGACTACTCGAACTGTTGTTAGTCGAACCACAGGAGAAAATATTTCATTGAAATTAATACCTTCTTTTTGAGCATATCCTTTAACCACCAGTCTTGCACGATACCTCTCTACTTGATCATCACCATTTCGCTTGATTTTGAAGACCCATTTGTTACCAATTGGCTTCCTTTCTTGTGGTAGTGGAAAAGGTCCCATGTATTATTTTTATGAAGGGCTTCAATTTCTTCTTGCATCGCCATCATCCACAGTGAAGCATTTGAGTTGTTTATTGCCTCCTGGTATGTTGATGGCTCACCGTCCTCTGTTAAAAGGCAATATGCAATATTACCTTCTATAACATAATCTTAGTACCAATTGGGACGTCTTCTCACACAATCTGATTGACGAGTTGTTGGTGCTTCAGAACTCTCTGGTTCTTGTTCATCATGTATTGGTTCTGCTTCAGAAGAATCTCCTTGTTCAACCTCCTTTTCCACATGTATATGTGTAGTCTCTGACTTTTCAGTTCTATCATCGTCTTCTTTTCTTTGTAGTTTATCTTCTACAAAGATAACATCCCTACTGATGATCACTTTGATGGTAGTGGGATCACACAAGCGATACCCCTTTACACCATCAGCATACCCCAAGAATTTGCATTTCCTGGATTTTGGATCCAACTTTGAAATTTCTTGGGAGTTTTACATCATGTACACAATACTTCCAAATACATGGAGGTTTGAATAATCAGCTGGTTTACCAGTCCACATCTCCATTGGTGTCGTCATCTCTATTGCGATTGATGGAGCTCGATTCACCAAATAACATGCGGTATTGACTGCTTCTGCCCATAATGATTTTTCTAGGCCTACATCCCTCAACATTGCTCTTGTTCTTTCTAACAAGGTTCTGTTCATCCACTCTGCCACTCCATTTTGTTGAGGAGTGTGTGCCACTGTGAACTGTCTTTTGATGCCTTCTTTCCTGCAAAAGTCATCAAAATTTTCACTTGTGTATTCTCCTCCATTATCTGTTCTGAAACACTTGATCTTATTTCCAGAATCAAGTTCCACATGCGCTTTGAAGTTTTTGAAAGTGGAAAACACATCTGACTTCTTCTTAATAGGGTACACCCAACATCTCCTGGAGTAGTCATCAATAAATGAGACAAAGTATTTTGCTCCGCCTAGGGATATAACTGGTGCTTGCCATATGTCAGAGTGAACCAATTCTAGAACACTTTTGCCTCTAGAATTTGATGTGTTGAATTTCAACCGGTGCTGCTTACTTGTTATGCAATGCTCATACAAAGGAAGTGATACTTTTGTTAAGCCTGGAAGTAGCTTTTGCTCCACAAGGACTTTCATTCCTTTTTCTGACATGTGTCCAAGTTTCTGATGCCATAGTATTGCAGAATCTGAACTACACGAGGCAACAGAGGCTTTTGCTTCTAGCAAAGTCTCTCCCTTCAGCATGTACAAGTTTGCAGCTATATTTTCGCCTTTCAACACCACAAGCGCTCCACGGAACACCTTCATGATTCCTTTTCGTGTTTCAATCTTGCTTGCATTATTATCCAACAATTCATAGGATAATAAAATTTTCTTCAGGCCTTTCACGTGCCGCACATCTCGAATAACTTTAATTGTTCCATCATACATCTTCAATTTGATGGTTCTCACACCAATGATCTCTAAGGCATGATCATTACAACTATACACAAATCCTCTTGAGACAGGTTCATAATGATGGAACCATTCTCTTCTTGAGGTCATGTGATATGTTGTTCCCGAATCAATGAGCCATATATGTGCAAATCGTTTTCTACCTTCCACGGTGGTTAACGCTTCATAACATAGAGCATCTCCATCATCTGAAGTGTTTGCGGTATTGCCTTATGGATTGGAGTTTTTATTTAGACTCCAACAATCCTTCTTCAAGTGACCCTTCTTTCCACAGTTGTAGCACTTTAAATTCTTTTTTGCTTCTTGACTTCGATCTACCATGTTTGTGACTGCTACTTTGGCCACGTTCTGTTAATCTCCCTCTCATCGTTGTCAACGCTTCTGCTTGTTGCAGATTTACTTGTCTGTCTTCCTTGTTCTTGCGCGATTTTCTTCTTATATAACAGCAGCTGCAACGTCATCGAAGACTAGACTGGTGACATTACTGCTTGTCAAGTTGATGATGAGTTGATCATACGAATCAGGTAGACTTTGAAGTAGAAGTTCAGCCCGTTCTTGTTCTCCTATTGTACATCTTAAGGATGTAAGCTGAGAAAATAACGTGTTCAGTGTGTTTAAGTGCTCCGTCACTGAAGTAGATTCTGGCATACGTAGAGTGTACAATTTCCTCTTAAGGAAAATTTTATTGTGCAACGATGTGGCCTCGTACAATTTGGTGAGATGATCCCATATCTCCTTAGTTGTCTTCTTCTCCTCGATGCTTGACAATACTTCATCTGCTAATGCTAGATGAATGTTTGCTATAGCATTCCCGTCCATTTCGATCCATTTGTTGTCATCTGTGAAATCCACCATCCTTTCGCTGATAGCTGCTAGACAACCATCTTTCCTCATGATGGCCTTCATCTTCAATTTCCACAATGAGAAATTTCTACCATTGAACTTTTCAATATCAAATTTCATTGCCATAGCTTCTAGATAGCTCCCACTATTTCATTATCGTGAATAGTTCTCTGGAACCTTCAAAGAATGGGTAATACCTTCTTACTTTCTTATGTTGAAGGATCTACCTTTTGGTGGCAACTACAAAGACAATAAGCAGATATTACACACTCAAATCTGGCTCGGATACCAATTGTTGCGGAAGACGGCTATCGGATAGAGCAAAATTACAACTGATAATTTGAGAAAATAAAAAATGAAGATAAAAGAGACACAAAATTTACGTGGAAAACCCGTAAATAATATAGGGTAAAAACCATGGTCAACGGTAGAAGAATTTCACTATGAGAAAATAGGAATTACAAATTATCTCGATCTACCAAGGAGAAAACAATGATAATTCTCTCTTGATAAAGAGGAGAAAACAACTCTAAAAAAACTCTCTAAATTCTCTAGTATTAGGAGAAAACTAGAATGATTTGGGATGGTTTTGAAGCTAAATGAGCTAGGGTATTTATAGTTGAAGCTTAAGGACTAATTTGTAAATACCCTAAATTATAATGACTAAAAATAATTTTAACATTTTCCAAATTTTCACAAAACCCACATTGCACCTTTCGGTGTATTAATGCATCACCGAAAGGTGCCTTGACTTTTTGCAGCTAAATGTAGTCAAGGTATTGGCTAATGCTTTGTCTTATATGCATCACGACCATTCACAACCCATAATTCATCGAGGCATTTCGAGAAACAATGTTCTCTTGGATTCAGGCTATGAAGCTCGTGTCTCAGATTTTGGCACGGCTAGGCTTTTGAAGCCTGACTTCTCCAACTGGACTTCACTCGCGGGCACATCTGGGTACATAGCTCCAGGTATTAATAGATTAGAAATATTTGTTTATAGACAGATATAGTTTAAGTAGCATATGCCTAACCAGTATTTCTTATTATGCAGAATTGGCTTATACATTAAAAGTAGATGAGAACTGTGATGTCTACAGTTTCGGGGTACTAACAATAGAAGTTTTGATGGGGATACATCCTGGTGATCTTCTTTCATATTTGTCATCATCGACATCGAGAACGAGATCTGTGTCGAATGACCAACAAGTTTTACTTAAAGATGTGATAGACCAACGTCTCTCACCGCCCGTAAGCCGAGTTGCAAGGGATGTAGTTTCTACTACAAAGCTTGCATTTGCTTGCTTGAATGGCAATCCCCAACTTCGACCAACCATGGGACATGTTGCTCATGCCCTTAGCCATCAATCCCTTCTATTGCCAAGCCTTTTCTCGACCATAATATTGGAAGAACAGTTGGGACTGTAGCAGGATTGCAAGTATTTGACTGGTATCACTTCTTACAATGGTCAATCATGTGGAATAGAAGTGATCAAAGTGAATGCTACTGCCAGGGGTTATTGCTTCGCTGCGAATGAACTGGACCTTTTTTGTTTGTATGTTTTGATGTTCGCTATTTTGTTTTTAAGATGGTGTGTGATGATAGCCCGTCTCTAGTGGTTTATATGTATTTTTTTTGTCTTTGTTTTAGGGAGTTTTTCGTACTTGTTGTAGTCTAGCTTCGTTGAAACGTCAATTGTGAACTTTTTGATACCAATCAAACATAATAAAATACTCCACAACTGCAACGGGTTCCTCTATTCCAACCAATGATACCAGTCAAATGCTTCCAATCCTTTTTTTCACAGCAAAAAAACATATTTTATTAATAAAGATGTTAGAAGATAACCACGTTCATAATCATCGTCCACCAAGATTTTACGTGAAAAATCTTTTCGGGCAGGGATGGACCGGGGCTGCTGTCCTCAAAATTTTTAAATTCTTTTATATTTTAAATTTTTATTTGTATTTATTATTACTCATCTGTTTTTGCCCTTAAAATTTTATAAGTTTGTCTCATAGTATAAAATTTTACCTCCATCTCTACTTTGAGAAAAACCATAGACAGAAAAAGAAAAAATTCACTAATGTCAAGAGACAAAAATTACCATCAATTACACCATTAAAGATAGCTTATCCAAAAAAAAAACTTAAGAGAATATAATAAAATAGCAGCCAACACAAGCATGTTGGGCTGAATCAAATTATAAAAACAAATTACATAGGATCCATCAGACGCACACGATACAGTCAACATGCCTTGAAACAATTCAGCTCACTGCAATAGGCTGATGCAAATAAAATCAGCCATGTCAAGACAACATTGAGCTCAATAAAACAAAACAGAGGCACCCCCAATTAGCCGAGCAAGACTCAAAAAAACGACGAAGAGACATCAAAACACTCACGGTCTCAAAAACATGTAAGATGCACAAAACAAGACAGCCTACGAATCAGGATTCACAATAAGACAACCAAAAATCACTAAGCAAAAACCACCTCCATAAGGTCATACTTGCAACCCTCCTACTATCCCAACAGTTCTTCCAATTTTATGGTCGAGAAAAGGCTTGGCAATGGAAGGGATTGACGACTAAGAGCCTGAGCAACATGTTTCATGGTTGGTCGAAGTTGGGGATTGCCATTCAAGCAAGCAAATGCAAGCTTTGTAATAGAAACTACATCCCTTGCAACTCGGCTTACGGGCGGTGAGAGGCGTTGGTCGATCACATCTTTAAGTAAAATCTGTTGGTCATTCGACACAGATATCGTTCTGGATGTCGATGACGACAAATACGAAAGAAGATCAGCAGGATGCCTCCCCATTACAACTTCTATTGTTAGTACCCCGAAACTGTACACGTCGCATTTCTCATCTACTCTTAATGTATAAGCCAACTCTACATAAAAAAAAATGTACTAGAAATTAACACTTTAAATCAAATATGTGGCATATTGAGAACAAATACAGGAAAATGAAACGGTTAATACCTGGAGCTATGTAACCGTAGGTGCCCGCAAGTGAAGTCCAGTAGGAGGAGTCAGGCTTCAAAAGCCTAGCTGTGCCAAAATCTGAGACATGAGCTTCATAGTCTGAATCCAAGAGAACATTGTTGCTCGAAATGTCTCGATGAATTATGGGTTGTGAACGGTCATGATGCATATAAGACAGAGCATTAGCCAATCCCTTGACTACATTTAGTCTCTTCTTCCAATCCAACTCCTTTGCCTGTTCATTGTTGCTCAACACCATTTTCAGACTCCCCTTTTCTATAAATTCATAAACAAGGAAAGAATGCCTTGGATGCAGACAAAAGCCGTACATCCGCACAATGTTACGATGCCTTATTTCTAATAAAGCAACAATCTCGCTTTCAAAGGCTTTCATGTTGTGGATGAGCATGTTGTCTTCAGAATTGTGAAATTTCTTCACAACAACCACTTGACCTGTAGGTAACGCAGCTTTATAAACGTTTCCATATCCTCCCGAACCAATGCAATAGCAGGAGCTGAAATCTTCAGTGGCTTCTACAATGTTGTCATGGAGCATTCTTCCATTAAATCCCAAGACACTGAATATATCTCCATGTTGCACCTCCCTTGGCTCAGAGTTTCTGGTTGAAGTCTTTTTACAAAAGGCAAGGCAACTGCCAGCCAATATTAACATTAAAAGTAGACCACCAAAGAGTGGAGAGACAACCAAAATGATGACTTTGGTTTTCTTTTTATGACCATGGTTGGCTCGAGAACATAGGCCTAGTTCTGTAGCGTTACCACATAGGCCTTTATTGTTACTTAAGGCATCAGCTGAAGCCATATGAAACGCCTTAAGGTCTGGAATAGGACCTTCTAAATGATTGAAAGATATGTTCACATTTGTCAGGCTTTGCAAATCACCAAAAGCTTTTGGGATGGAACCATTGAGCATATTGTGAGAAAGGTCCAATATTTCCAAGAACTGCAATTGGCCAAGTTGTTGGGGGATACCTCCAGTAAATGAATTGTGACTCAGATCTAGACTTTGAAGATGTTTTATCAAGCTCATTGAAGATGGAATGCTCTCCTGGAGATTATTATTGCTCAAATTCAAGTTGAATAACCTCTGACAGTTCCCAAGATCAGGAACAAATCCACTTAAACTGTTTGATGCCAAGTTAAGCTGTTCTAGATTTGAAAGAAGTCCAACCTCTGATGGGATTTTACCGGAAAATTGGTTACCAGTAAGAAAAAGGCGTGACATATTTGCGAATGCTCCAAGTTCCTTGGGAATCTCACCGGTCAGATGATTCCAAGAGAGATCGAGTTCTTGCAACTGAGCTGCATGTCCAAGCTCAGTTGGTATCTTTCCAGTAATGTTATTATTAGAGACTCGTAGGTTGAGTAGATTATGGCATTTCCCCCAGTTGGGAGAAAATTCACCATAAAATCTGTTACTGCTTAATGCAACAAAACTCAAATTTGGATATATACCAAAAGCTTCTGATATATTTCCAGTCAACTGGTTTCTTTCAAGCCTAACTCTAAACAAGGTTTTGCAATCTCTCAAAGTTGATGGGATCTGACCTGTCAGTTTATTATCCACTGCCCCTAAATGTGTGAGTGATCCACCGGCACATATGTTCTCCGGCAATGGACCGGTGAAATGGTTAAAACTCACTTGAAAATATTGCAAACTAGTAAGATTGTTCAAGGTTGGAGGAAATGGGCCGTGGAAACTATTATTATACAGACTAAATACAGTGAGATATTTAAGCATGCCTACCTCTTTAGGTATCGACCCGGAAAATTTATTCTTGTAAAGAACAAGAGTAGACAACCTGGTCAAGTTTCCAATGGAAGAACAGATTGAACCATAGAAATCATTATCATGCAAAACAAGGTGGGTTAGAGGTTTAAGCTTCCATAGCTCTTGAGGTATTGAACCAGACAACATGTTTTGACCGAGATCAAGAATGGCGAGTTGAGAAAGGTTCCCAATGTGCGGGGGAATGGAACCGTACAGTGAGTTGTTCCAAAGGTGAAGCTCATTCAAGTTTGGAAAGGAAAGGAAGTCGAGATTTTCAAGTGTACCTTTGAATCTGAAACCATAGCTTGCGAGGCTTAGACTGGCGACGCTTCCAGTTCCAGCCGTATGGCATGTGATTCCGACCCAGTTGCAATGGTTGGTTCCGACCCACAAAGAAGAGAGCAGAGTTTGGGTGGTGTTGTGGAGGCTAGCTTTCCAATTTAGAAGAGCATCAGCTTCTGTTGAGTTTATGAAGGATGAAGTAGAGAAAGCATCAAAAGATACAAAGAAGAGGAAGAAGAAGATGAGCTTGAATGGTATGAATAAAGAAGCCATGGTTTTGATAGCTTCAACCAATCCTTTTCTGTTAATTGTGGCGAAGAACATTGGTTGTCATCAAAAGCTATTTATAGTAAGTTTATTTTGTCAAACGATTTATTAATTAATTAGTTAAATGACATGTCATATCTCAAGATTTCTCGTAAAATTAGTTGAGATAATATGATCGGAAAAACTTTATTAGGTAAGGCGTGAAGAAACTTACTTTCTAATATACTGTGATTATAACAATACACGCAAGAAGAAGATGGTCGGATGAGACAGTTAAGGGTTGTAAATTAGCAGAGTTGAGTTTAAGAATTGTTTAGTTTTACTCTACTTAAAAATTCAAAAATAAAACTTGATTCGGTTTACAAATTTAAAATTTTAAAATTTTCAAGCTCGATTCAAACTTAAAATCATGAAATAAAAATCGTAAAAACTTAAAATAAAAAAAATCATAAACTTAACTCGATTAAAAATTAAACTCAAACTTAATCAATAATTTCTCGTTACCCTGGCTGCTATCTCGCAAACATTATTAATCTGTCAACTCTATGGTCAATCCATCAATTTTCTAACATCTTCAAAGACCAAATAATTCATAGCTCCCATCAATTTTATAATTATTTAACCAAGTGGCCAATGGCTCAAATGTTCTAGAGGTCAACTATTTGTATAGTTTTTTTTTATACGGATTTGATCTTTCATATTGAACCGACGTATTTTTTTCTTTAAAAAATTATAATTATTTTTTTTAAAAAAGTGAATTTACACAAAATGAAATATAAGTTTGTGAAAATAAATTACAAAAAAATATTTCACGTTATTTATATGATGTCGTATAAATTATTTTTCATTAGATAATAAATTTTTATAAAATTATTTATTATAAATGCTTGGTAGTTGATAGGCAATATTATACCAAAACTCAACCCAAGCAAGAAAATTCTTACTTGGTTTATTTCCAAGCATGATTCAATGCTTCGGTCTGTCCATATGTTTGGGATGGTACGATGAACTCATTACACAATTCAAACTCTTACAGCCTCACTATTTCGGTCCACATTTCACTCACAGTGATCCTATGAGAGATACTATGTATAAGGGTATTCTATAGAGCTTTATAACAAATTGTACTAAAACCTGGGTTATGTATTAGCTATCAAATTGTTGGGGCAGAGCAAATAAATGCCCATAGTTGGCAAGTCTTTCCACCATTCCGTTGGACTTGGACTGCCCAATAATAAAGTCTAATGTTGTATCCTCAAATAGTTGATAAGAAAGTTGTCGAATTCAATGTTTGCGAATGAGGTAAATTAAATTGAAATGGGGTAAATTAGATTGGGGTATCATCCCTATAATAGATATTTATATAATCTGATCTAAAATAGTATCAATAAATTGAATATGGAGGGTTAAACCAAAAAGATAAGTGGACAATGGCTATAGCAACCCAGCTGGTACTGAACTTTCACTCTTCATGCGCTGACAAATTTGACATTCGTTCACAAATTTGCACACATCTTGTTTCACTTTTTCTAATAAAAATTTGCTGAGAAGCATGCCTGTGTCCCTCAACCTTTGAACTGAGGAATTCTCTTAATATCAATGACCATAAAACCTTCTCATTGGGAACTAAGATGCACCCATTAACTAATACAAGTCCCTCGTGCTCACTGTGCCCTTGATATTTCATATTTGCTTGTCAAATTTGTTTATGAATCTTTCTTAATTATGGATCTTTTTCACCAGATTTATGGATCTTGTAAACAAGGTAGCTGCACCAGGAGATCGGAACTTGAGCACACCTTTAATTGCTCATAGTACTCTTGAGCTGCTCCACGCTCTGTCGAAACACAAAGAGCTTCATGAAGAAAACAAATACAACAAGATAAGAACTCATGAGAAGAAAAGAATTAAAACCAATCTCAGTTGAAATCTTGGAAAACAAGACTCGACAGCTTCAAGAACTCAACACTTGATCTGCAGCAAAAAAGCAATTATTGAGAGAACAAAGAATTTGGGTTGTCGTAACCGGTTTTCGTCCGGGCACGAATTTTTACTTGGCAGGAAAAGTGATGTGAATAAATTAATGATTTTGATTTAAAAAAAATATTTTGGGAGTCGCCATCGGCCTTTTGGGTCAGGTAGGTCAAATATCTAAAAAATCATCTTTTAAAAGAGTTTTTAAGAAAACATCATTTAAAAGATAAACTAGTCTGCGTTTTAACCAAAAATTCGTTCTTTTTAATAATAAAAAGGGATTCGTGGTCGATTATGTTTAGGAAAGGATTAGCACACCTACAACGCCCAAAATTGGTTTTTTTTTAATTATAAATTGTCTCTATTATTAGAAATTTAAAAATATATTTAATTTATAATCCTATTATTTCAAAATTATAATTATGAAAAATATATTAATTTATATATTTATAAATAAATATTATTTATTTAGAAATATCAGAAAAGGACTTCTAGGTGCCTTAAGACAGTTCTTTTCCTCGATATTAAAAAATAAATAATTAATTAAAACAATTAATTATATAATTTATAAAATAGGATATTTATTTATTTAAAAATATTAGAAAATGGACATCCAGTTGTTTTAAGACTATCATTTCTTAATATTGAAAAATAAATATTAAAACAGGATTAAAATAAGTTAAAAGTAATTAAATAAGATTTTAATAAATAAAATAAATATTATAAATATATATATTTATGGCTAAATAATAATAATAATAGTAATAATAATTAAAAGTAAACATATAAAATTATCATATAATGAACAAAATTAAAACTATATATTTAAAATAAATAAAACTTGTAAAAAATAAATAAAAATTGAAATTAGTGACTAAATTATAACCTAATAGAATTAAATACCTAATTCATAATTAATTATTTAAAATTTCAATGGTTAAATACGTTATTCTACCTTTTATTAATTTAGTGACTAGATTAAAATTATATCAAATTCGTATATCAAATTGAAAGAAATTAAAACATGTTATTCAGGGTTTAAAATATTAATTAATAAAGTTACGAGGACTAAATTGGTTATTTACTTAAAATATCTATTATTATGCAAAGGACTAAAATAAATAAAATTAAAGTTATTAAACCGGATTAAAAGGATTATAAATTGATTTAGTGACTAAAATGGAATGTTACAAAATTAAGATGGCTGCGGAAAGGGTTTATCCATACGTGTAAATTACGCATATACCCCTTCCCAAAACGACGTCGTTCGGGAAAGGATATATATTTCCCTTCATAGCTGGCCCGAAGGGCCAGCATCCTCATTATTCTCTTATTATTCTCTCTCAAAAATGAGAGAAGAATAAGCTCTCTCCCCTTCTCTCTTAATTTCCCTCACCGGAGGGAAATGATATCCGGTCGGCCACCGTCAAATCCGCCGCCGGCCACCACATCCGGTGGCCGGAAATTACAAAACCCACCCCAAATTAAAGCCTGGTTTCCCCTAAAGCTAAATCCGGAGGTTTTTTTAGCCTAAAATACTACTGAAATGCGTAGATCTAAAATTTTTTACCTTCGACCTTTGGCTTTCCGACGGCGCAAAGAGGCTCTGATGATCGCTGTTCCCTCGGTAAGTTTCTCTTCTCTCTTTTCCTTGGTGTTTTAGTGATTTATGGTTGCTGGATTGTTTTTTTTTTCTTTGTGGCTGTTCGATGTCCTCTATTTTTTCCTGTCTTTCTTTCTTCTCTCTTCTCTATTTTTTTCTCCCCTCTCTGTTTTTTTGTTTGCAGGGAACCAGTGGCTTTTATAGGCCTCGTCGGAGCTTGTCTCGGACCGGCCACAAGAGCGGATTTCGGTGAGTCACCGAACTATGTGGTGACTCACCCCTAGAGCAGCAACAGAGGTGGCCATCTGGGTCTTCTGGAGCCTTTGACGAGGGGCGGCTGGAATGCTCTTGGAAACGACGACGGCCGCGTGGCACAGGAGTGTCGGCAGCTGGACGTTGGACCACCTGGCAGAGGCAGCAGTTGGCCTTCTGGAATCATCAGAGGCGGCTGGAGTGCTAGGGTTTAGAAACCCTAGCTGAAACCCTAAATTGGTTTAGGGTTTCCTTTTGGGCATGGGCCGGTTCTGGTTGGGCCTGGGATTTGTATTTGGGCTCCCGGGATCTGGGCTTGTAATTATTTTTTAATAATAATAATATATATAATAATATATATAATAATAATTATTATTATTATAATTATAATAATAATATAAATAATATTCAAATGAAAAAAATGAGTATCTTCAGTTGCCCCTCTTTGTTTATTCTTGTGTTAACAAGAATAGAGCAAAGACGAAAAGATAATAAGTTTTTTTTTCATTTGACTTTACTTGATTATGATGGGAATGTTGAAATAATTCTTCTTTGGGATTAGCTCTTCTCATTATGAACTTTTCCACTGGGGATGATAACTCATCTCCTTTTGTGATGTAATCTAGCAAAGGTTGAATAATCTCTTCTCATTATGAACTTCTTCTTCCTTATTTAGATGAGTTCTTCTCATTATGAATCCATCAAGTGATGAATTTAAGCAAAATGTTGAACAAGTTCTTCTCATTATGAACTTCTTCTCCTTCTTCAGATGAGTTCTTTTCATTATGAACTCTAACTGGCACTGCTGATCCACCGAGTGATGAATTTAAGAAAAAAGTTGAACAAGTTCTTCTCATTATGAAGTTCTTCTTCTTCTTCAGATGAGTTCTTCTCATTATGAACTCTAACTGACACTACTGATCCACCGAGTGATGAATTTAAGCAAAAAGTTGAACAAGTTCTTCTCATTATGAACTTCTTCTTCTTCTTCAGATGAGTTCGTCTCATTATGAACTCTAACCGAAAATGTTGATCCACCGAGGGATGAATTTAAGCAAAAAGTTAAACAAGTTCTTCTCATTATGAACTTCTTCTTCTTCTTCAAATGAGTTCTTCTCATTATGAACTCTAACTGAAAATGTTGATCCATTAAATGATGGATTTAAATCTTTGCTAA